ATGTGGATCAAAATCGGGGGTTCTTAGCCTCTTTTGCGACATGGACCCCTTTGGTGGTCCGGTAAAACTTTAGAAAAATATTTTCAAGTACATGAAACAAAATTCATAGGATTAAAAAGGAAGCTAATTCTATTGAAATACAGTTATTGTTGGCGCAGTGGATAGAGCATACACCCTGGAGTCAGGAAGAACTGAGTTCAAATTTGGCCTCACATATTTGACACTTACTAGCTGTGTGACGAGTCACTTAACCTCAATTGCCTCACAAAAGAAATATAGTTATCAAATTTTTTAAAAAATCATGAGCCACATAATAAGAACACATAACCTAAATTCATTTCCTGATATTTTTTTTCAGATATTGCTTATTAATTCACTCATTCTCTAGTTTTTATTATTTATAGAGATTTCAAAGACTAAATGTTTATATATATTTGCTTGTATGTCTTATGTTTCTATTCTGTTCCATTCATATATTTTTTTACTTTTTTGGCATAATGTCTGTAAGTTTTTATGATAATCATTTTCAACCAGTCAATTAACAAGTATTTGGTAAGCATCTACTATTGTAGTAGGCACTGTGGTGGGCTGTTAGATACAAGAAAAAAATGAAGCAATCCCCACTCAGTAAGAGTTTATATTATAAGGGGGGAAGACAGCAAGTATGTAAATAAATGTATAAGGCATAAATATTAAGTAAATGAATACAAATGTATACAAAGTAGCTAAATACAAAGTCCTTTGGGAAGGAGGGCACTAGCATCTGTTGGGGGAGAACATGAGGAAAGGCTTCATGCAGAAAATAGTCCTTGAACTTCCTCCTAAAGGAAGAGAAGGACTTTAGGTTTTATAGTCCGGGATACCATTTTCATCAGCCTTTTTTCCCAAGATGCCTCTTGATTTTCTTGTCTGTTTTCCACATAAAACTTCATTGTAATGTGACCCAGTACTAGCAAATCTCTTGAGATTTTGATTGGGATTAACTATGCAAATTAATTTGAGGAATAGTGTCATTTTTACTACACTAATCTGACCTATGCATGGACATTAAATGTTATTAAGGTCTTATTTTATTTCAGTCATTAACATTTTATAGTTGTCCTTAAAAAGATCACATGTACTTCTAGATAGGTTAATTCCTGAATAGTTAAGAGATTTCGTTGCTATTGGAAATGGGATTTTATAATGTCTTTTTGGTCTTTATTGTTAGTAAATAAAGAATGTGACTTATTTTGTGGATTGATATTATATCCTGCCACCTTGCTAAATTCATTTATCATCTCCATTAATTTTCTGGTTGAGATACTTGGATTTCCTAGAAACACGCCATATGCAAATAATGATATTGTGACCTCATCATTTCCAATGTTATTCCCACTAATAGCTTTTTCCTGTCTTATTGCAATTGTTAGAATTTCCAGCACTACTTCAAATAAAAGTGATGCAAGTGGTCATTCTTGTTATTTATCAGCTTTTGATGTAAATATTTTTAATATTTCTAGATTGTATGTTATTTTGGTTCTTGACGGAAGGTAATGCTTTTTTTTTTTGTAGTGAGGCAATTGGGGTTAAGTAACTTGCCCAGAGTCACACAGCTAGTAAATGTTATGTGTCTGAGGCCGGATTTGAACTCAGGTACTCCTGATTTCAGGGCCGGTGCTCTATCCACTGCACCACCTAGCTGCCCTTTTGTTATTTTTTTAATCTACCTATCTCAATCCTTTTTTTTTCACTCCATTGTTAACAAATGTCAAATTTTATCAAAAGTTTTTTCTACATCTACTAATAAAATTGTGGCATTTTTGGTTTTTGTTTTTATATGTTATCTTATAGTGATACTTTTCCTGGCTTAAAAGGTCCTTCTGTAAGAGTGATCCAAATCTGTTGTACCAGTAGAAACATTGGCAGAAACATCCAGGTTGTGCCATTCTTCCTCTCCCCATCCTCTTCTCATGTTCCTCTCCACTCCCTCCCCCACATACACCCCGACACACGACACACGCACATAATCATTAGGAAAATATTCATAGTCCCTAAGGAAGGGCAGATAGGAGGTGCAATGGATAGAGAACCAAGCCTGGAGGCAGGAAGATCTGAATTCAAATCCAGCTTCAGACACTTACTAGCTGTGTGACCCTGGGCAAGTAATTTAACCCAGTTTGCCTCAGTTTCCTCATCTGTAAAATGAGTTGGAGAACGAAATGACAAACCACTCCAGTATCTTGGCTACAAAAATGGAGTCATGAAGAGTTGGACACGACGGAAAATGACCAAACAACAACATGGAAGACAAGACGGGAACAAAAAAAGCCACACCTTGAGGGATGAGGAGTTTTTCCCAGTTTCAGAAGGAAGTAGTGCAATATATGAACCCTGTAGTGAGTGGTACCATCTGTATGTAATCTATATATAACTCAAACTCACCATGTCCCAAATACAACTCATTACTTTTACCTTCAAACTCTCTCCTGTTATGATCTTCCCTATTGTTGTCATGGCCTCCACCATCCTGTCTATTAATTATTCTCTTTTCAGCTGCACATGCAAATGCTTTCAAAATTGTCTAGCTTTGCTGGGTTTCATATCACGCTTTCTTCAGATTCATTTTCCCTTTCAAAAAGTATTTATTAAATGCTACTATATGCCAAGTGGCTTCTGGCCAAAATGGTTGCCTGAAGAGAAGGCAGTCTGCCAGGCTCTCCTACACTTTCTCCATCTCCATCTAATAACCAAATATGAAATGAAGTTCACATCAAACTGAATAATGACCGAGAAATGCACTGAGAAATTTCAGCAAGTGACATCTTCTAGCCCATAACTAAACAAAAAGCCAGCCACATACATGCCCGTATGCAACAGGAAAGGGCCTCAAGAGCAAAGTTAGTATCTCAGCTAGAAATGCCTGCAGGACTCTGTGTCTTGAGGTAACAAGAGTGAAGGGCTCCCCTGAGAAAACCTCAGAGTGGGAACCTTGGAAGTTTCAAAATAGAAGGACATGCCAAGGGCTGTGTGCCATAGCACAACCATGCCCAAAGAGAAATCTGGAGTTTAGTGGTAAATATTACATAAGACATCCATATATGTTCCCAGTACAACAGACTTCCCCACCTTTGCTCAATTTCCAATTTCCTTTACTTTATCCATAATTCCCTTCTTTCCCATTTCTACCCATGTAAGTCTTATTCAGCTAGATATTATCACAAGTAGAGTGTCAATCTGGGAGTCAGGAAGAACTGAGTTCAAATTCTGTCTTAGCTGCTTACTGGCTATATGACTTTAGGTAGGTCAGACAGCAAAGATGCCAAGTTCATCCACTGCATCCCAGGCTGTTACTAGTTGTCCTGACTTTTGTCTTGCTACTGGACTTCGATGACTCTAGAAGAGGGAGTGAGGCTGATAATGTTGTGCAACCCTTCCCCACTTAAATCCAATTCACGCATGAGTCAAGACATTTCTGTTATTGGTCCTCTTCAAAAAATGAAGGACAAACAACAGCAGCGACATGTTGCTTAAACTCTCTCAGCCTCTATTTTCCCCATCTATAAAATGGGAATAATAACAGCACCTACATTTCAGCATTGTGTGGATTAAATGGGATTATATATCTAACACACCTTACAAATCTTAAAGTGCTATAAAAATGCTGGTTATTACTGTTAATTATTATGCATCCTTTTAAGCTCATCCAGTTCACATGCCACCTCCTCTTTGGAACTTTCCCTAAGCCCCTACAAAAAATGGATACCCCCCCATACTTTTGCAGCTCTTTATGTGCACCTCTCTTTCTCCCATTTCCCATTCCTCTTTGCATTAGAGCTATTTATGTACATGTCTTCACTCATCCACATCACTCTGTGAGCAGAGACCATATCTTATTCATCATTCTGTCTTCCCCTAGGACCTCAGAAGATGATTTGCACATAAAACTTGTTCAATAAATATTTGCTGAATCTAATTAGTTGAATTAAACTTACCATATGAGTATGCAAAAGCATGGTAATCTATTACTATTAAGAAAGCCAGTGCTGAATTTCTCAGCCGGTTCTTGGTCACATAAAAGACGAGTATATTCTAATGACAGCAGGCCAAGACTACCCGAGTCTCTTGTTCAAAAATGCATTATCATAGAGTCATAGAATCACAGAATCATAGCATGTGAGAGTTGGAAGGGACCTTGGTAGCCATCTAGTCCAATTTATGTTCAAAATGAATCCCTGGTCATTGGTCCTTTTTAAGAATGAAGAATGAACAACTAGAACATATGTAACAAGTGAATAACAGCTATCTATTATGTTAAAGAGCCACTAATCTATGCAATTTCCTAGCATACCATAAGGTCAAGCATCAGACAACTGTCTCTAAGTGCATAAGCTAGTTGTATAAAGACATGATTATCTTAGAATATCACAACAGGACAAAGTGTGCCTACAATTCAAGTGTGCATATTGCAACAAGTGTTTATATAGTTCCTACTAGGTAGCACAGTGGATAGAGGACTGATCTTGGAATCAGGAAGACTCATCTTCCTGAGAGCAAATCTGACCTCCGACATTTACTAGCTGTATGACCCTGGGCAAGTCACTTATCTCTGTTTGCCTCATTTCCTCATCTGTAAAAATGAGCTGAAGATGGAAAGAGAAAACCACTCCAGTATCTTTGGCAGGAAAACCCCAAATAGGGTACCAGAGAGTCAGACATGACTGAACAACAACTAGTTATGAGGCGCTCTGAGGATACAAAAACAAGACGATCCCTGACCTCAAAGAGTTTATAGTCTACTAAGAAATCAGAAAGACCTGTAGGACAAGACATCTGAGCTCACACATGTATATGTGAAGAGAGGTACATTCCAGGGAAGCCGGCCAGCCTGTTCCAAGACATTGGCAAATGGAATACCAAGTTCAGGACAATTTGACCAGAACAGAGAGTACACGTTGAGGAGCGATAGTTTGGAAAGGTAGATTAGAGAAAGATGTCAAGCTGAGAAATTTGTGTCTTACCCTAGAGGCCGTACTGAAGTCACTGAAGGAACATAAGCAGAAGTATGTCCGAGAAAGCTTATTTCAGGATGAATCAGAGGATTAATTAGAAAGCAGAGAGACTAGAAAGGAGTACAATTAGGAGGCTATTATGGTAGTCCAGGGAAGAGTTTATGAGGACCTGAACTGTAACAATGGCTTTGAAAGGAAAGGATGTAATAAATGATGCAATAGTAGAATGAATAGCACTTGGCAATTGATTGGATAAAAAGGATAAGGGAAAGAGAAGAGCCAAATGTTAGGAAACTGAAAAAAAAAATGATGGTGACTTCACCAAAAATAGGAAAGCTGTTAAAAGCTTATTCAACTTCTGTTCAAAAATGATTTTAAGAAAACTAGAAGATATGGGAGGCTTCACAGAGTCAGGAATAAGGTGAGAGTGGGGATGGAGAAAATCCATTAGTATAAGTCTTTGTGTTAACACTTAGAACCTATGAAAAGCAGGCATCTAAAAGGATAGAGGAGTAGAAAATGGATGTCAAAACAACATTTTATGGGTAGATGAAGAGAAAAACTGACTCATTTGAGCCTCCCAGGGTTGTTGTGGGGAATATGACTTGTAATATTAAAATGCTACAGATGTAAGGTACTATTATGCCTGAAAGAACACCTGAGTTATCAATTATCACTTAAGATCTAGCGCTTGGATTTAAATAGAAACTAAAGGGGCAGCATGGGTCAATGGAAACTGTGTTCTCCAAATAAATAAATATGTACATAGGTAGATAGATACATAGATACATAGATACAGAGAGAGAGAGAGACAGACAGACAGATACACGGATAGATAAATAGATAGGCAGACAAACAGATAGATAGATAGATGTATCTATCTATCTATATATGTATATATGTATATACAGACATATAATTTAAATTAGGGAAATTGAGTACAAATCTCAGTTTCTTGCTGTGATTTCTTTTTTTTTTCCAAGTTAGTCAATAAGCATTTATTAAGTACTTACTATGTGCCAGGCATTGTGTTGAACACAAAATCCCAGGCATGGGGGCAAAAGCCCATAAAAGGGAGATGGACTGTTGTCTAAGGAACAGCACATAGACCACTTTGGCCGGAACATGGAGAATGTGTAAATTAGCCAGAAAAATTGTGTAGAGTCATATTGTGAAGAATTTTAAATGCCAAACGTGAATCCTGCTTTCTTCTGATATGCACATTTCTGAATAGTACACTAAAGCCGTCTTGAGTTTTTAGGGGAAGAGTTGGTGTAAGCATTGCTACCGTCAGGCACTAGGAATCTTTATGTTTAGTTTAAGATCTATTTTCCTCATGTCTCTATTATCTAAGTTTACATCCGAGCTGATTTCGATCTTTTCTGAGCACAGATACCACCATCACCTCCTTAGCAAAGTCACTTGTTGGGTACACATCACAAATATTCTAAGAAATATTTTATGAGGGGTTGAAACTCTAGGTCAACTCACAAACTCACAAACATTTGATCCATCACATAGCTTTAGTTTAATACAATATGAACTATTTACCCACTGCAAGATGCTGCAGAACATTTATGGCACTCGGAGTTGAAGCATCAGGTCATTAGGATAGCATCTTTCCTGTATAGAGGGGCCTGTACTCGTTCGGCTGCTGCTGGGCAGTGGGAAAGGGGATTACTCCCTTTTGCAAGTTTGCTGGTGGTATAATTATTATGGCTTGGGGCAGGAATTTACCAAGGGGTGGGCTAAGGAGCTAGGGATAGGGTTTCTGAGAGCTGGAGAGTGAAGAGCTTTAGGGATCTGGGACTTCCTATCAACATAAAGCCTAGTGTTACTTCTGTCCTGGGCAGGTTTCCCACTGATCTCCCTTCTTGCTCCTATAAGAAGCCCTAAGATCAGCTCGCCTGCTTTGGTTTGTCTGTTATATACATGTGATTATTAGTGAATTGATACTGAGTTGGATGGCGGATATTTACAGGTATGACAAAAGGCTCTCTTTCTACCTTGGGACTTATGTTCAATATTTTTATCAACCATTTACACGCAGGCGTAGAGCATAAAATTGCTGTGACTTCCAATCCCTTAACCCCTCAGTTCTTTCCCAGACCATTGCCCTGCACTTTCTACTCCCTCCTCCCTTTCCCACCTTGATGCCCTGATGAACCAGTTCAATTTTACATTTTCTTCTTATCTCAAATCCCTTGCCCTCTTAACCTATTGCCAATCTTGCCCTACCAAGCCTCATCTTGGATTTCTCTAACCATCCCTCCTATTCATGTGTTGCTGAGTGAAGCTGAAAAAAAATTGTGAAATTGAGTCCACTACAAATTTGTGTTGTATAATCACAACTGGGCCCTCACTGCAGCAGGGCAATCCTTTTACATCTCCCTAATTAACTCACTATCCCACTCACCACAGTGGCTTCTCCACACCTTTTCATCCATCTTCAAACTTCACTCTGCTCCCATCCTCTCATCTAATTTCTCATTTTTCACTGAATAAATTGAAGCAATTTGCCAAGAGCTACCTCTTCTCCCTTCCTCATTATCTCACATCACCCAGATGCCTTGTTCTATCTAAAGTTGCCAATGATCCCTTAATTGCCAGATCCAATGGCCTTTTTTCAATCTTCATCTTTCTTGTGCGCTCTGGCTCCTCTTGCATTGTTGATAATCTTCAACTCCTTAATACTCTCTTCTGTTTAGGGTTTCATTACATTACTCTTTCATTACATTACTCCTACATCTCTGACTTCTCAGTCTCCTTTGCCTTGAGATTTCATCAGTGAAGAGTGTCTCCATATCTCCAGTGTCTCCAAACTGTAGGTCAAGGAGTAGAAAGAGCTGCTGTAGCCTTCTGGGAAAAGAAAGAGCCTTTCATTAAGAGCTAACACGAAGCCTCAAGAGCACATGCCTCTGCTGTTACTTCTGTCTCTGTTGCATCTATTCTTTCCTTCTTTGGGGTGAAGGTGATTAGACATGACTACAATTTGGGGAACTTTGAAAGAGCTGGAAGGCAAGCCACTGATTGAGAGAATTCATAACCAAACAACAGAAATCTCATGTGAATGCCACACATATCCACACATACATACATATCCACACAAAAATTGGCAGCTTTAACTAAAGTTAAAATATTTTTGCACAAACATAACATGAGTGTAAGAAGTGAAACTGTGATATTGGGGGGGAAATCTATGTAAAATTTACCTATGATAAAAGTATGACAGCTATTTGGGGAATTAATACAAATACAGTACATAAGAGAAGGCACCATAGATAAATTGTAGATAAAAATGGATGTAAACAAATAGATTTTAAAAGGAAAATATGCAAATTATAAAGAACTACATAAAAAAGTCCCAAATTACTTATAAGAACAATATTAATTAAAACAACTTTGAGATTTTACCTTCCATTCCTCAAATGGTAAAGATGATGAAAGATGATTGATCACAATAGCAATACAAGATGAAACCATGTACCAAACACCATGGAGATCTCTGACCCCTCTTCCAGATTCAGACTCTTTCTTGCCTCTCACAATCATATTCTCTCATACCTGGGTAGAAGCCAGTTTCCACACACCCGGTTATGCAAAAGTGGTTACCTAATCATGCAAACTAGCAGACTTTGTACTCTTTGTAGGTAGGAAATGCCGGCATCTTCTCAGGGACATGCCAGTATTTAAAAATTGTTTCCTGTGTCTGGTATTACTGGGCATGGCAGAGGGAACTCTACCCCATGATGCTCCAGTATTGACTGACTTTTCACTTATTCCCAGCTCAATAATCTCCCAATCTCCTTATGGTTGTCAGAGTGGAAGTGACTAGAAAACAGTCCATGGGAAAAAGACCTAGAGGTAATAATGAGTTGCAGTGTGATATCAGAGCCAAAAAAAGGCTAAAACTATCTAAGGTTTCATATAACAAAGCAGACTATTGACAGTGTGGGAGGTAATAAATCTCAATGTATTCTGTCCTGGGTACTATTGCCCCAGCACCAGGATTTAGCAAGGGAAAGGGCTTACGTCTTATTGTCTCTGAGATTTGGGGCAAGTCATTTTTCCTGGGCTTCAAATTCTTCATCAATAAAATTAAGGGATTAGACTAAATCAGGGTTTTTTTAAACTAAGGTCCATGAAACCCTATAGATTTCAGGGGTTTTACAAACTCAGAACTATAAATATTTTGATAGTCACATTTCAATATTATTGGTTTCCTTTGTAATTTGATGCATTTAAAAACATTATTCTGAGTCAGGGTCCATATGTTTCACTAGACTGCCAAAGGAGTACATGACACAAAAAAGGGTAAGAATCCTTAGAGTGGATGATCTCTAAGATCCCTTCCTGATCTAGCTAGGATTATTAGTTCTGTTTTAAATATGGTGAATTGGCTTTGGCAGGGAAACATCAAGGTTCACTGTCTTTCTTGGAAATATGCCTTAGACTCGAAGATACCACCACTAGGCCTATACCCCGAAGAGATCAGAGAAGAAAGAAATGGTCCTATACGTACAAATCTATTTATTGTAATACCTTTTGTAGTAGCAAAGAACTGAAAACTAAGGGGGAACCTATCAAGTGGAGAATGACTGAACAAAACATTCTATATTAATGTAATCAAATACTACTGTGCTATAAGAAATTATGAAAGAGATGGTTTCAGAGAAACCTAGGAAGACTTGTATGAACTGATGCGGAGTAAAAAGAGAAGAATCAGGCATTTTATACCATAACAACAACTTTGTAAAAAATGAACAACTTTTGAAAGATTTAAGAATTCTAATCAGTGCAATGACCAACCATAATTCCAAAGGACAGATAATGAAGAATTAGTACCCAACTCCTTCAGAGAGGTGATGATCAAAATACGGAAAATGAGAAACACATTTTGACATTGTTAATATGGGAATTTATTTCAGTTGATTATACATATTTGTTACTTGTGTTTATTTTTGCTTTTCCCACCCAGTGGGGGTTGGGGTGGGGAGAAAGAACAATAAATGTTTGATAATTGAAAAATTTTTCATTTAAAAAAGGAAATGTACCCCCAGGAAATAACGAACCTCTATCC